CTGTGTATATTTTTGAGAACAGCAGTCCCTGTGTATATTATTGAGAAAAGCAGTCCCTGTGTATATTATTGAGAACAGCAGTCCCTGTGTATATTTTTGAGAACAGCAGTCCCTGTGTATATTTTTGAGAACAGCAGTCCCTGTGTATATTATTGAGAACAGCAGTCCCTATGTATATTTTTGAGAAAAGCAGTCCCTGTGTATATTATTGAGAACAGCAGTCCCTATGTATATTTTTCAGAAAAGCAGTCCCTGTGCATATTATGGAGAATAGCGCTACCTGTAGACATTATTGAGAACAGCAGCCCCAGTGTATATTACAGAGAATAGCAGCCCCTGTGTATACTATAGGAAATAGCAACCCTGTGCATATTATAGAGAACAGCAGTCTCTCTATTTTATTGAGACCAGCAGCCACTCTGGATATTATAGAGAATATCAGACCCTGTGTAAATTATACAGCACAGCAGTCCCTGTGTATATTACAGAGAACATCAACCTGTGTATATTATAGAGAATAGCAGCCCTTGTGAATATTATAGAGAACAGCTGTTTCTGTGTATGTTATTGAGAACAGCATTCCCTGTGTGTTTTGTAGAGAATAGCAAATCTTGTGTACATTTTGCTTCCTATTAGGTTTTGATTCCACTCCAGTAATTGTCACTGAAGGAATGTGCATAATGCTCCCAAAACAGGATGATTGTCAATTTGAAAATCTTTCCAATACTCCAGGGGCAGATGGTTAGACTGGGAGTATGTGAGCAGCCATTGCTTAATGCAGTGTCCCTCAGGCTAGTGACCTGTTACAGATTAAACTTGCTGTAGAAACAGAAGGGAAAGTGTGCTTTGTCTACTCCATCTCTTGTTGCAATAAGTGGTAGAAGAAGCTGTGCATAGTTATGAATTGCAGCTTTTGTGGAATTAATCCGTATACAATGTCATTAGATATGTTTTCCTAAATTATTTTTGAGGAGAAATTGAGAATGTGTAGGAGCTGTATGCACAAAAATCTAAGCTGCCACACCAATGTAATGTTGACAGTTTGCTGCAATGTCAATGGTACCTACCTTCTGATAGAGTCATCTGCTCCTTAGTTGGATGTAAAACAACCCCTGGCTGTTTGTTGGAAAAGAGTTTGGAAGCTATCCTGGTGATGTGGCCAATATTTAACCCCCAGTCACACATTAAAGACACAAATTGATCATTATCATTCTGCTGTTTGTGGGATCCTCCTGTGTTGATTGATTCTTCTATTCCTTCATTACAACAGTGACTTCACCCACAAGCATTTCATTAACACATGTAAACACATTGTGAGAGACATCATAGAAATGTGAGGCAGAGCAGAGAAGGTTCACTAGGCTGCTATTGGATATGGAGGGACTGTCTTAGAAGAAGGGTTTGAGTAGATTCGGTCTGCACTCGTTGGAATATGGAAGATGAAGAGTGACCTTATTGAAGTATACCAGGTTCTTAGGTGGGGGTGGGAGGTTGACAGGGTAGATGCAGAGAGGTTGTTCCCCTTGTTGGAGAGTCTAGGATCAGAGGGCATCATCTCAGAATAAAGGGTCACACATTTCAGACAGAGATGAGGAGGAATTTCTTCTCTCAGAGGGGAGTGAATCTGTGGAATTCTTTACCACAGAGAGCTGTCAAGACTGGGTTGTTAAGTATATTCATGGTTGAGATGAGCAGATTTTTAATCAGTAAGGGAATGAAGGATTAAAGGGAAAAGGCAGGAAAGTGCAGTTGAGGATTATCAGATGGGTTGAATGGTTTACTTATGCTTCTACATCTGATGGCCTTATGGTCCACATCTTTTATTTCTGTTTGCAATGGTATTCAGTAACCTGTTACATATTTACTCCGTAGCAGTCAGTATGTATGTTTGCTCTGTTACACTTGACTATCCGTTACCATGAACAGTCTGTCCTTTCCTACAGGTATGTCATGGTTTCTACTCCCTTCTGCTTTGAGCCTGACATCCGTTATGAGATCAGTGTCAGGTACCAGCGGCTCCAGGCTCCCCAGTGGAACACAAACAGTTACCTCTTGGTGGATTCTGTAAGTGTTTGAAAAGCATGTGTCCCTTTCCTCTGCTGAATATGACGCCGCCATCCCTTCGATCATTGTGGGCATTGACAGAGTTGTGGATAGTGCAGAAGGATGTTGCAGGTTACAGAAGGACATAGATAAGCTGCAGAGCTGGGCTGAGAGGTGGCAAATGGAGTTTAATGCGGAAAAGTGTGAGGTGATTCACTTTGGAAGGAGTAACAGTAATACAGAGTACTGGGCTAATGGTAAGATTCTTGGTAGTGTGGATGAGCAGAGAGATCTCAGTGTCCATGTGCATAGATCACTGAAAGTTGCCACCCAGGTTGATAGCATTGTTAAGAAAGCATACGGTATGTTAGGTTTTATTGGTAGAGGGATTGAGTTTTGGAGCCATGAGGTCATGTTGCAGCTGTACAAAACTCTGGTGCGGCCGCACTTGGAGTATTGCGTACAGTTCTGGTCACCGCATTATAGGAAGGATGTGGAAGCATTGGAAAGGGCGCAGAGGAGATTTACCAGGATGTTGCCTGGTATGGAGGGAAGGTCTTATGAGGAAAGGCTGAGGGACTTGAGGCTGTTTTCGTTAGAGAGAAGAAGGTTAAGAGGTGACTTAATAGAGACATACAAAATGATCAGAGGATTAGATAGGGTGGACAGTGGGAGCCTTTTTCCTCGGATGGTGATGGCTAGCACGAAGGGACATAGCTTTAAATTGGGGGGTGATAGATATAAGACAGATGTCAGAGGTAGGTTCTTTACTCAGAGAGTAGTAAGGGCATGGAATGCCCTGTCTGCAAAAGTAGTAGACTCGCCAACTTTAAGGGCATTTAAATGGTCATTGGATAAACATATGGATGATAATGGAATAGTTTAGGTTAGATGGGCTTCAGATTGGTTTCACAGGTCGGCACAACATCGAGGGCTGAAGGGCCTGTACTGCGCTGTAATGTTCTATGTTCTATGTACACAGCAGGAGCTCAAAATGCAAAAAAAAAATCAATGCCAGAAATCAGAAAGAAATATTACAAATGTTGGAATTATCCAGCAGCTCAATCAGAAACTGAATTCAGATAATGTATTACTGTCTATTGCTCCCTTACAGATCCTCAACTTCTTGCAGAACCTGTTCTGTGTTTTCTGCCACACTCACTCATCCACATCCTTTAATATCCTACCCCGTCTAATCCTCTCATAAGAACACGGGCCACTCAGCCCCTGGAGCCTGCTCCTACAATCTGTAACATGCTGGTCTCAGCTCCTTTTTCCGGTTTACTCCCCATAATCCTCAATTTGCTCATCTGTCAAAAAAATGTATCTAGCTCAGCCTTGAATAAATTCAGTGTCTTCACTGCTTTCCTTACTTGCCTTTTAATGACCCACTTAGTCTAATCCCACTCTCCAGCACACTCCATGGCCTTTAATTTAGGACCTACTGCTCTACTTCAGAAGACTGACTGGCTGAAAGTTGGTGACAGCTTTAGTTCAATGGTATAACATTCTCACCATTGAAGTGCAAGGTTATTGATTTTGGTTCCATTCCACACTCTGGAACACACAATCAGAATACCCACTCATAGTGCAGAACTGAGGGAGTGCTGCAGTGTAGAAGCTATTGTTTGGTGTGAACTTCATATTGCAGCTCCTTCATGTGGCTATAAAGATTTCAATCTTTGAAGAAGAGAAAGAGGATTTCTCCCTAATTGCCAAGGGCCAATATTTATCCTTACAACAGATTACTTGGTAACTATTTGCTATTTACAGGACCTTGCTGTGCACATATTTGTTGCCATGTCTCCCACATTATAACAGAAACGACACTTCAGAGAGGACTGTATGTCATTGGCTGTAAAGATCAGGTTGTGGTGCTACTGTGAAAATACCAATTTGTTTTAAATGTTCATTTTGCCACAAGAATGCTGTGATATTTTACAACTGTGTCCTTATTTGCCATCAACAAGCTTTCTTTAAATGTCTAACCAGAGGAAATAACTAAAAATTAATTGTCATTGAGACATAGAGAGAGAGAGTTAGAGTCATGCAGATTAGAAACAGGCTCTTCAGGCCATCATATCTATACTGACCAACAAACACCAACCTACACTGATCCCATTTACCTGCACTTGGTCCATAACCTACTGTGCCCCACCATTGTAAGTGCCTATCCAGATGCTTCTGAAATGTTGCTCGAGTACCTGCCTCCACTACCCTCTCATGCAGCACGTCCCATATTTCTACCACCCTCTGGGTGAAAAAATATTTCCTCAGGTCTCCTCTAAACCACTTGTTCCTCACCTTAAACATACACCCTCTGGTCTTAGACATGTCTGCTATGGGGAAAAGATTCTCATGATCTACTCTGTCTATGCCTCTCATAATTGTGTATACATCAATCATATTCCCCGCTCAGTCTCCTCTGTTCCAGGGAAAACAAACCCAGCCTTATCCGGTCTTCCCTCATAACTGAGACTTTCCATCCCAGGCAACATCCTGGTGAATCCCCTCTGCACCCTCTCCTGTGCAATCACATCCTTCCGATAATGTGGTGACCAGAGCTGCATATAGTATTCCACCTGTAGCCTCAGCAATGTTTTATAAAGTTGGAACAAGACTTCCTTGCTCCTATATTCTCCTCCCCGGCTAAGGAAGGTAAGCATCCCCTGTGCCTTCTTCCCCCACCCTGTCTCCCTGTGCTGACACCTTCGGGGATCAATGGGCTAGTACACCAAGGTCCCCTTGTTCCTCAGCACTCCCCAGGGACCCAGCATTCATTGTGTAAATAAATACTGAGAGAACTGTGGATGCTGTAAATCAGGAACAAAAACAGAAGTTGCTGGAAAAGCTCAGCAGGTCTGGCAGCGTCTATGAAGGAAAAAACAGAGTTAACGTTTCAGGTCCGGAGACCCTTCCTCAGAACTGCTGGGCTTTTCCAAAAACTTTGTTTTTATTCATTGTGTAAATCCTTGCCTTATTTAACCCTCCCAAAATGCATCATCTTACACTTATCGGGATTAAATTCCATCTGCAATTCCTCTGCCCAATTTACCAGCTGACCAATATCAGACTGTAACCTGAAAACTATCCTCCTCACTCTACAAATCTACATCTACAAATGTACTAATGATACTTTCTACATTGTCCTGTGATGGAAGATATGAGAGAAACTCAATGTTTTGATCATTCGGTTTGGGGGGGCAGGGAAGCGTAAATGTGTGAGTCTCACTGACTGCCGGACTCAATCCTAAAGATTCCTCTTTCCCCACAGTTGGTTCTATTGCCCAAGTATTCTGAGCTGCCAGGGTTTGCTGGCACAGATCCGGTTGCAGTACATCACCGGGAAGAGATGGTTCGGTACATGTGCCTGGACTCCTTTATGATGGCCAGCATGCCAATGTTGGCCGAGATGTGTGTCAGGCTGATATGCAGCATCTCCGCTATCATGCACGACGGTGCTCTGTGTAAGTACGATCACTTCGACTGGGACCCTCTCCCGTGGGGGAACGCGGCATCCCATAATCCGAGCTGTGTCACGGAAACTCTCCCCTGCTGCCATCTAAATGGCACACAGGCATTTTCTGTTTGCCTGCCACTGCACCCTCTCCACTTCCTCACTTTACCCACCGTTCAGAAACACCTTGGCATAAAATTTTACCCTCCGGCAGTGGAAATCCCTAGTGCAGGGTCATGTACGGTGGGGTCCTCCCCTTTTCCATCTGGGCTATGGGGAGGGGAGTGCTATATGCAGCTGTCGATTCACTGGGTGCCAGGCCACATGCAGTCTGGGGAAACATTCCCGTGTATTCCCGTTTTATGCTGATTGCATCCATTTGCAGCCTGTGTTTCGTATTTTCAAAGGGGCTGTTTTAGGTTTTTGGTTGCACTTCAGCGCCAGGCTCCCAACCTGGGGGCAGCCCATGCTGAGTGTTGGGGGAACAGACGAGCAGGGAATATTCAGGCAGGCTGTAGGGCCTGGTCAGTGTGGTCACTGACAGGTCTGGGCAGTGCGTGGTGGTAGGAACACAACTGTCTGACCATGCTCCATTGCTCCATTGTCCATTGAGGGTAGTTCATAGGCTCAATAAAGACCATCAGAGACCAGTGGGCACTGCAGGGGCTGGGTGTCATTGTTGGCCCAGGTCATGTGATTTTGATGTGATTTTTATAAGCTTGTGTTCTAATTTTTTCCGTTTCCATTGGTTGTTAAATTTTTTTTCTGTACAGTGCCCCAGTTGTGGGCGCTGAACTTAATTAATGTTCTTTTTAGAAGAGTAGGAAGGAGGTGATTTTTGACACAATGGTAGTATCCCTGTCTCTGAACCTGAGTTCAAGCCTCTCCTTCTCAAGGGGTGTGTAATAATATCTCTGAACAAGCTGATTAAAAATGTCTCAAAGGGAGGCAATGTTGAAGTAATATTAGTCAATGCTGAGTATGGAGCCTAATCTACCTAGAATCATAGAATCCCCACAGGGTGAAACAGGCCCTTTGACCCAACAAGTCCACGCCGAACCTCAGAGCATCCCACCCAGACTCATCCCCCTACAACCCACCTAATCTACCACGTCCCTGAACACTACAGGCAATTTAGCATGGCCAATTCACCGAGCCTGTACATCTTTGGATTGTGGGAGGAAACCGGAGCACCCGGAGGAAACCCACGCAGACACTGGGAGAATGTGCAAACTCCACACAGACAGTCGCCCGAGGGTGGAATCGAACCCAAGGGCCCTGGCGCTGTGAGGCAGCAGTGCTAACCACTGAGCCACCGTGCTGCCCCCATCTAGAGCCTCCTGACCATGGAACTCAGTTCCAGGAATGCCAAGTGTTTGCCAAGGCACACTTCCCAATGAACTGACCCCTGTCCCTCCAGAATTCCATATTGCCCTGGATGCTGAACCCTCCGTCTGGATCCTGTGCCCACAATTTGGGGCACCTCTCGAGGATATTGCCAAAGTGCTCTTTGCCACAGTACTGAGGGTTTCCCTTTCTCAGCTGCTGCTGTACCCTCAGCTACCACTCATATCTCCCAGTCACAGAGATCCAGGGGAGGGCAGGGTTCTGGTCTATGGGGAGAGATTAAGTGATCTCTTCATGGACCTCTTTGAGTGTCTGCTCCAGAGGTTGGTCAAAGTGGCCCATGTTAGTGGTCACACAGTGAGCTCATAGAAACACAGAAGATAGGAGGAGGAGTAGGCCTTTTGGCCCCTCAAGCCTGTTTTGCAGCTCAACATGATCATGGTTGATCACCGAGCCCCATATCCCTGATCCTTTTGGCCACAAGAGCAATATCTAACTCCTTCTTGAAAACACACAATGTTTTGGTCTCAACCAATATCTGTGGCAGAGAATTCCACAGGCTTCCCGCTCTCTGGGTGAAGACATTTCTCCTCATCTCAGTCCTAAAAGGTTTATCCCTTATCCTTAGACTGAGATCCCTAGTTCCGGAATCCCCCATCATCAGGAACATCCTTCTTGCATCTAACCTGACTAGTCCTGTTAGACTGTTGTAGGTTTGTATGAGACCATACACACCAATCATTCTGAGGCTTTGTAGGGGGTTGTAGCACTCAAGCACCTGTCCCTGTTCCATGGTTCGGTGTGCCCCCCCCAGCAGGAGCACATGGAACCTGCTGGCCTTTTGGGGCTGGTGGGCCCCATAGCAGGAGGTCGGGACACATAGTCACTCCTGGTAATGAGATTCAGATTTAATCCAGATGAGATTTCATTGTAGATTTCCATTGACCTTTTTGATATTTTATTGCAACACCCCACCAAGGGGCTGTCTGATGTTTATTAAAAAGAGAAGTAATGGGGGTAGTACACCAAACATAAGCTGAGGACCGCACCACCCAATAGTCGGAAATAGCTGTTCAGATTTACATCTGGCTCTTAAATTAAAATTAACCTCTCCTTACATTCTGAGTCTCACTTCCTGTCAATCTGTGCTTGTTACCATAGGAACATAAGAACAGGAGTTGGCCATTCAGCCCCTCAAGCCTGTTCCACCACGCAGTGAGATCATGGCGGATCTGTGGCCTATACACCTGCCTTTGCTCAATAAAAATGTCAGATTTAAAATTAACAACTGATCCAGCGTACACTGCCATTTGTGTAAAAGAGCTCCAAACCTCTCCCACCTTTTACATCTAGAACTGCTTCCTAACACGTCTCCTGAACGGTCTGGCCCTCCTCTGGGAAAACTCTCTGAATTGAGAAGGATTCCAGTGAAAATATATCTTTATAAATTGGGACTCTCACCCAATTAATGAACTCCTGCCAGTGACAAATATACAAGAGGAATGAGGAGGGCAGACAAGGTAAACATCACCAGCAGGAAGGGACATGGTGGATGGCATGGGCAATGGGACAATTTTTTTTTATTCATTCACGGGATGAGGGTGTCACTGACCAGGCAGCATTTATTGCCCATCCCTAACTGCCCTCTGGGCAATTAAGGGTCAACCATATTGCTGTGGGTCTGGAGTCACATGTAGGCCAGACCAGGTAAGGATGGCAGTTTCCTTCCCTAAAGGACATTAGTGAACCAGATGGGTTTTTACGACAATGGGTTCATGGTCATCATTAGATTCTTATTTCCAGATATTTTATTGGATTCAAATTTCACCAGCTGCTGTGGCAGGATTCGAACCTGGTCTTCAGAACATTATCTGGGTCTCTAGATTAACAGTCCAGTAATAACACCACTAGGCCATTGCCTCCCCCATACATAATGGGATGTTGTTCATTGGTAGAGAAAGTCATTTGTGACTTTTGGGTGCAGTAGCACAATGAGCATTCCAGACTCCTGATTAAATATCTGAACACAGTTCAAATCCCATCATGGCAGCTGAGGGAATTCAACATTGATGAAATAAATCTGTGATAAGAAGGGTCTTAGTGGTAGTGGTCCTACTTCTGAGCCAGGAGACCTGGGTTAAATTCCCCATTCCCTGCAGAGGTGTGTAGTAACATCTCTGAAAAGGCTGATTAGAAAATATCTGAAAGAAAAAGGTAAAGTCACCATACTGCTACCATTCTATAGGGCTGTTCTCTCATGAGAGAGAGAGAGATGGCTGGTGCTGATTTAACCTGAGGGTCACTATGCCTCAGGAGAGTGGAGAGGTTGAAAAGGAGAGTCCTTCATGGCAACCTCTATAATATCTAAATCTGAAATATGTAAACCTGCAATAAATAGCCCATTTCAATAAAATTGACCATGAAATGACTGGATTGTGGTAAAAATCCGCCTGTTCCTTCAAGGAAGACAATTTCCTGTCCCTCCCCAGTCTGGGTGACACATGACTCCAGTATCACAGCACTGGGGTTACATTAGAAACAGCTAACCCACCCTCTCTCAGTTTCACTGAAGGCACAGGTCATTAGCACCTTCTCAAGGACCAAGTGATAAATCAAAACGAGGTGAGCCTGCAGGGCAGAATGAGATTTTCTTGTTCTGGAACATTCCTGGGATTTGGCACTGAGGGAACATTGACATTGATCTGGTCTCTGATTTGCAGCTTGTCAGTGTGATCCACAGGGATCCATCAGCGCTGTCTGTGAGAAGATTGGAGGACAGTGTGAGTGCAGGAACAATGTGATAGGTCGACAATGTGACCAATGTGCTCCTGGCTACTATGGTTTTGGACCCTATGGCTGCTCTCGTAAGTTTCAATTCTTGTGTGTCACACTTTGGGGTGTTACTGTTATGTTAAAGGTGCTATATAAATGCAAGATGTTATCAGTCGGATAAAGAAACTCCGAGTAGAGGTCAGGCAGTGTGGAATCTCCAGCTCATAAAACCAGAGCTCATGGTGATTATAAGATAGTAGGAACTGCAGATGCTGGAGAATCTGAGATAACAACATGTAGAGCTGGATGAACACAGCAGGCCAAGCAGCATCAGAGGAGCAGGAAGGCTGACGTTTCGGGCGTAGATCCTTCTTTTCTTCAGAAGAAGGGTCTAGGTCCGAAACGTCAGC